CTCCCAGTCCCCACTTAGACTTGAGCAGGAGGTCTCCAGCTGGTGCCACAAGCCTCAGGGAGGTCACAGCTCCTTGGGAACACACTGTTACTTGAACCCGCACGGTATCTGGTGAATCCCAAGGGGGGGCTCAGGCTGGCTGCAGGATGTTCTGTGCCAGGGGACAGGCAGTAGCAGCAAAACACGATGTGGTTTCGCTGGAGAGGTATCCGTGATGCTCTGTCTCTTGACCACGAGCTTGGGGCCGTTCAGTGGCTACGAAAGTAACTGCATGAGCTGCACCCAGAGCCTCCTCTGCTGAGGAGTGGTGGCATCACGGAAGGAGCTGCAGGAGATGACCCCCATGACTGTCAGAGTGGGAAGCTCGTGGCTCCTGGCACCAGAACAGCTCCTGCTTCACCTGCTGGTTAGTCACCGCGGAAGACACTCGGCATCCTCGTAGCAGATGAGGGGCTGGGAGCTCTTTGGAACAACGTACCCGAGCCTTGCAGCAGCACCAGGACGAAATGGTGGGAGGCTCCCCGCAGAGAAGAGCGAACTCAGCCCTCACATGGGAGAGAAGCTGGAAGGCACAAAGCTCTGCCTGGGGACAGCTGAGAGCTTAAGGGTCAGGATTATCACATGGACCAACGCTGGCACGGCTGTGAGTGTTCTCTGCAGGTCACCAGAAAGCAGCAAAGGAGACCTTCTTCAGGCAACCCCAGGGAGCCTCTCGTTCAAAAGCCATCATGGGGGACGTCAACCCCTCCAGTACCTCCAGGAGGTTTCTGGAGTGCATCGGTGACAACTTCAGAAGGCAGATGACTGAGGAGCCAACAAAGGGAGACACTGCTGGACCTCGCGTTTGCAAACAAGGGAGAACCGTTTGGGGATGTAAAGGTGAGCAGCGGCTGTGGCTGCCGGCTGCACGATGGTGAAGTGCAGGATCATGAGGGGAGGAACAAGGCAGAAAACAGGGTCACAGGGAGAGCAAATGCTGGCCTGATCAGAGATCTGCCTGGAAAAGTCCTGTGGCATAAGGCTCTGGAGAGAAGTCCAGAGGAGCTGGTTGGATTTCAAGGATTGCTGCCTCCAAGCTCAGGACTGGTCTGACCTGATGAGCAGGAAACCACAAAAAGGTCCTGAATGATACTACAAGATTTGCAGCGTGGGGATTACGGTTCAAAGACACAGAAACTCTACAAGTAACTCAGCAAATCGGAGGGTGACATATGGGTTCTCTGGGAATCAGGAAGACAGCCCACAATGCATTGAACAGCAAATCCCAGAGAGAGAATCAGAAAAAAATGAGCTTAAAAAGAAACCACACAAGACCCCACAACTGTCAACATCCCCAAAATTAATGGTGTCTTCCTTTGTTCCTCTGTTTGTACTGAGACAGGAGCAAGCCTTCCTTCTCTAGAGCACAGCTGAACACCATTTATGCTTTGCAGGTTCCATAAATCCAGATGATTGGACTTAGATGCTGCCTTTGATGATGAGAAAGAAAAGCTATGGGCGTTTACAAAAAAAAGAATTTTAAATTTGACCTCAAAAAAAGGAAAATAAGCCTAAGTAGTCAAAATAACTAGTCCAAAAATAGTCCAAAATAACTAGAAAAGAACGCCATTGATCCAATCTCTCTAGATGAAACCCATCTCCTATACCTGTTTTCTGGCATAAAACCAGCTTGCTCGAGAAGCAATCTAGCTGAAAAAATAAACAGATAAAGATAACACCCACTAGCAAGTCTTGTAACGTTCTGTCCTAGATCAGGACTTTTGCTCTAAATAGTCTGTGTACATTCAGATTAGAGTCACATAACAAAGACACGTTAGCAGTTGCAGAAAGACACATCCAGGATGCTTCACACACAAGAGCTGCTTACGAAACACCACCCAGCAGTGAGCCAGCAGCTCGGGTGCAGATACTTTACTTGTCTGAGAGCTGTCCCGATACGAAAGATCCGATCAGGACGCCCACAAAGAACAGGGAGGTGCTCAGGGGTCCCTTCCAGTCGTTGTCACACACGAGATCCCACTGCAGGAAGAGAGAACAGGAAAGCCTTATATTAAACAGGATTTCTTTCCCCCTCCCTCCTAAACACCTCGGCTGAGCCCAGAGGAAAACATACCCTTTGGACAGAAAACCGCCACGAGAGGAATTAATCGCTAACCTAAGGCACGGGTGCAGCTCGGTGACAGTGACAGGGCAGGACATGGGGCACCAAAGGCCACGCGCCCTGAAGCCACCTCAGGAACGATCCAGGGAGGTGACTCCTGGGGCTTTCTGTTCATAGGTGATGCTGTGGTATTTCCTCTGCGCAGAGCTGGGTGATGGTAACGAATAATTTCACCACGCGTTGAGTTTGGTTCCCTTTTACAGGCTCTGCAGCCCCTTAAATTGCTGCACTTCTGGTTTTAGGAGGAGTGAGAATAGACCCCAAACTTGATTTGCCTTGCATATAGCAAAGTTTGCCATTAAAAAAAAAAAAAAAATCACATTTCTAATTTAAGAGAAATTGAATGATAGATACAAGACTACAGAAAAAAAAATCCCTTCCTTTATTACATTTTAATATGGTTTTAAGAGAGATTGGAGGCTGTTCACTCCTCACTGGGAACCTAACTAATGTCAGTTATAATCTCTGGAATACAAACTGAAACACACACCAATCAAAACAAGATTTCCAAAATGAAAACAAAAAAAAAAGAGAAAGAAAGGCAGGTATTTATTCAGCAAAGATTGCAATACTTTCCAAACTCCCACCCGCTTCAGTCTGATGTTTTTGAAATAAAACTCGTGTTATTTTTTGCTTTGATACCAACAGTTATTACTGAAGGAGTCTTAATTTTATTGTGGTTACCTGGGAGGGAAATATGAGGAGAAAGGACAAAACCCAGCAGGGACACCTCGGCCCTCACCTCGCTGCTGGAGGCGTTCCCAGAGCTCTGCCCTGGCAGAGGGCAGGAGGTGCTGCAGCCCCACCGGGCAGGAATTTGGAGGCAAGAAAGGTTTCTGATGTGAGGCCAAACCCTCCTGAGCTGTTATTCAAAAAGCTCCCACAGGGCCCCTTTGGATGTTTTAGGGATGGAAACTTTTAGGTTTTAATCTGTGTTAAAAAAGGTTGAGATGAAATTAAAGTATTCACCCTGTCCTCAATAACTAATTCACCTTGCTCCCTAATTACAAATAATTAAGTACAGAGTAATTAATTAAGTACAAGTAATTAAGTACAGAGTGTTTTCCTCTTAGTTTTGGGGGTTTCATGTTTCTGGTTGGTTTTTGTTTATTTTATTTTTTTTTAATTTGTGCTGGAACACTCTGTAAGATCTGCCCCTGCAGCTGCTGCACGTCCCCAGCTCCACCACCCACCTTGTCCGTGGTGGCACAAGGGAACGTCGGAGCCCCATCCCCTCAGCATTGAGCCTTTGACTCCAAAAATGCCAGCGCCCTCAGGCTGTTCATGCTACAGCCCCATCCTAGGGGATGTTTTCAGGTTGGAGGATCACTACAACCCATGTGCTGCAAGAACAACACCAGCAATGGCCTTTCTACGCCCAGATGCCCAGGGTAAAACTCAACTGAGCCACCACTTCTGCACAGAAAGTGAATTCAAACTGGGAATTCTTCTAGAGGTGAAGGATGCTCACTCACAGAGGTTGCACTCTCAGTGACATTTGTGTAACTTTACCTGCCAACCCTTACACTAGTCTATGAATTCACCTTATCATCATTATTTTTTTAAGGTCTCAGGAGCATGGGAGACCTGAATACAAGTTTCCCCCATATTTAAGGGTATTCATGTAATTTTTTAACCTCTCCTTTGATACAGCTGACTGTGGTTTTATGTCTGAAAAATCTCTCCTTATATCAGACTTCATAACCCTCGACACTATTGTTGCCTTTCCAGCCTCACAGCACCTGAAGCACAGGCACCAGCACTCAATGCAACATTTCCACAAATCCTACCAACAATTCTCCATCATTACAGAAGCTCCTTTCAGAATTGTGCCTTGCTAACGTGCTAACAAATGCATGCCACTTCTGTAAGGAATTTAGCTTACTATAGTTATCAATATATCATTCGGATTAAAAACTGTAAATTCATAATTAAACTTGTATTTATTCAACAAAAGCTTTACTTCGTTATAGATTAAAGAAAGTTTGAGCAATTCTGTGACGGCCACAGAGGCTGATCCAGGAAGCTTTGGCAAAAACGTTATCTGGCAACGTGGAAATATGCCGCAGATGTTGGTTATCAAATTTACACAGGCCAAAGGTTGCAGAGGTTACCACACACCTTCACAGGAAAACAAACCCTGAACATAAATCCTGCATTAATAAAGGCTCATCTCCTCACGAAGAATCATCTCAGTATCAGCTGCTGGAGCCAGACATCTTCAGTAACAGAACTAAAATCTAGCTAAACACCCAGCTTGGTGATTTACAGCCTGCCATGACTAAATGAGTCCTTATTTTCCAGCTGATCACCCCATCTCCTTTCATCCCCCTTACACCCCGTGCCTTGGCACAAGGCTGCGCGACACTTGGCTTTCCAGAGGCTGGCACGCTTGTGCCCAGTAACAAACATTTTCTTCACACCACTGAGGCAGAGACATCGCCTTGAAAAGGTTGTGGTATTAAAATGTTTTCGCACTGTTCTTGCATCAGCAGGTACAAAAGTTATCAGTCCCTAAAATGTGGCATTGACCATCACCTTGTTTTCTGTCCACTCCACTAAAGGACTGGTAGGAGCTGTTATGCTGGAGATCACTTGAACCAGGCGCCAAAGTGAACTTCAACTTCCAACAAAACAGAACCCTGATTGTGCAACACTGGGTATTTACAGATTTGATTCACAACAAAGGCATTTTAAGGTCTGTTATGCCTTGCCCCAGTAAAGGAATGCTGAGGCTTTCAACTTTTTAATCATGGTCTTCCAGAACCATTCTGCAAGCAGACCCTTCCCGTTGCCCAAGGAATCACTGAAGCATCTCTGCTGGAAGGCAGCATCGAACAGAGCCCGTGTCCCAGGAGGAGTAACTGATTGAACCCTGCTCTTGGCACTGCTGTTTCGACACAGTATACCGTGACCCAGTGCTCTAAAATCATGTGCTATTTTCACTTCCTAGTATCCTCTGAGCTAGCCTGCTCGCTGTTTAATGGCCTTTGCCCAGAGATAAGGTTAACCTCAGCAAGGCATCAGGGCTCTGAACATGAGAAAAACATTTTAGCTTCGTTTCAAACAGTAGCTGCTGATGTTGCAAAGCAGCGAGCTCCTAAGCACTGATACCCAATGCTCAAGGCCCAGCCCAGAGTGTTCTCACTCAATTTTATTACAATTTTAGAAGAAGATAGCCTTCTGTTGGAGTTTAAACTTATCTTCTTACTTGGACAGCTTGCAGATATTTTGGCCCGTATCTACCTCCCAAACAAATCACTGGGCTGGGGTGATATCTTCACCAGCAGCCTCACCCCAAACCGCAATAATCACCTTCTGCATTAGAGGCGAGTTGCACGGGGAGACAGGCACCTCCGTAACAGATTCCTGGCTGACACCAGCCACTGGTGAGGATGTGTGGGAAGAGGGGACCGGGCAAAGAAGACAGGCTATGGAGACGGCCAGAAAACGTGGACGGCTTGGGGGAGAAGCACGGGGACACCACAAGGGAGAGGGACTGAAGCAGATGCTTCTCGTGCACAGGCTTGGGGCCAGAGTATCAAACAGCCCGAGGCACTTACAGCCATCACTTCAGCATCTTTTTAGGAGAGCACTTCCCAAGTGCTGCTTCACCTCTTACATGGCAAGTCAGCCACCTGAAACCACATCTCCAAGTCTCTTATTATGAGGCAAGCCCAGTTACAAAACTGAGAAGAATATAAAACCTGAACTACTCCCTCGGATCAACTCCCTCCCCCAAACACAAGGCCCTTCCCAGCCACGTTTTATTAACTTCCAGCCTTTGATCACAATACAGCTTGAGCAAGAAGCGTTATTGCAGGTTTAGCTACAATTACACCAAGCAGCACACGTACAAGTGTGTCAGTCTTGCTAGGCTGGTCTTTCCTGTATTGTCTTACATCTTTCCAACATTAAATCCAACATTAACACAACACCTCTGTCCAGAAAGAAAAACTACCCTGCAGTTTTCACACAAACCGCAACCACAATGGAATTCAGGCTCCGAGACAAAAATATTTGAATTCTTTAAACTGCGGAGCAACCTTCAAAGCATAAAGCAACTCAAACTGCACAGCGGGTTTAGGCAGATGGGATGCCACAAGTAAAAAATACTTCTCACGCTCTCTAGGCACTTTGAAACCTTTAAGAGGTACGCTCAGTGTCCTGCGTACAGGCTCCGCATCTACCGTACTTGCAGAATATCATTTGCCTCGAAAGAAGAGCTGGCACTCCATGAATTACTAACAGTAAATCCCGCAATGGCTCTAATCCAGACCGCGACGCAGATCCCTCATCCCGCCTCACTTTCGCTGCAATTATATCATCTTCTAAGAGACGACAGAACAGGAGATAAAATTCTAGCTGCTAACCACAAGACGCCTACCCTACTTAAGCACAAACGTCGCCCATCCTATTTAAGTCTCAAACGTGCCCAATTTTTTTAACGCATCACAACATGGAAATTGCAAATCCAATTACAGGCGACCTCTTCAAAACATGGAAAGTTCTTGCAACGGAGTGTCAGAGCAAACAAACATATACCACCACCAAGTATGTCTGGAAAGTTACAGAAGTAGCTGTAAGGCCACCAACAATATAATTTAGAACCTCACTTGAGAAAAACATGTCACTTGGACTATAGGGAACTGCTCCACCCCAGGAGCACTCACACTTCTCTTAGACCATTACCAGAACCCTAAACAAAGATGAAGTATGACAAATACAAAAACCTGGCGAGCCTTACTCAGTTATGTCCCTGTTGTATAAGGAAAAGCCTTATAGGAAAAGGTATTTTCACAGCTACAATATTTAGTGTCCTCCCACTCTTCCCCTCCTCCCCAAACTATTTGCCTCTCTTCCTGCAGAAACAGTTTCTTTCAAACTGTTGCTCTCTCTTGCATGGCTGGGAAATGAAGTTGGATTGTCC